TTGAAGAGTTTCAAAAGGCCCAGAAGTAGAGATAGACCTGCAGCAGCCCTAGTTTGGGGAACAGTAATGAGGATCCTATTTCCAATCTTGTGCTCATAGACCTGCAAGTGCTCCATGCTATCAAACATAAAAATCTTAGAAGGTCCGCTGGCCCTTTGTTGGTGAATAAGCCCATCACCATCCCCTGAAACCAGAGGACCAGTGTTGCAAACTCACATGCCAACAGAAGGAAGCAGGTGATGTAAGTGAAACAGACTGTTTATAAGAAATTAGAAGTGTAAGGACTGGATCATGAAGAGGGCATGCCTCACCAAAAGTGGAGGCTGCTACTCCGCTCCAGCCCCACTATTGCCAGATCTCCACTTTCCAAGGGAAGGGGGAACCTGCACTTTCATGTGAAATCTTTCCATTTGTAAATGTTGGCAATTAAATCAACATTTTTATAAAACACACAGCAGGCAAAACAAAACTAATCTACAGGTCCTATCTGGTACATGGCAATTGGTTAGTAATCTCTGCCCAAAGGCAACATTGTGATATTTTTGCCTCCAGAGAGAGAATACAACAGTGTTTAAACAAAGCTTGGGTCTCCCACTTTGACTCCATCTAGAGCTCCAGTTTCTGAGCTCTCATCTCAGCAGTTATTACCTTTAATATTAACTTCAGCTGATCTTCTCACATGGGTCCTGCTACTTTAAAGTGAAGTGTAGGGTCAAGCTTCATGGAGGCCAAGGGAGCTGTGATCAGCAAACTCAAGTCCAATGAGTTGGATAGAACTTTAGACATCGTTTATTCTGGCTTTCCTGTTTTTATGGCTGCCAATAACATTCTCTAGACATTCCTTTCGGGGCCAATAGCACTTGTATGTGTAAATGAAGGCTATGCAGCCCCAATATTATAGTGTCTGGATGCTCTCATCTACTGTCCATTTATGGCCTACAATTGCCCTGAGCACTTTGACGTCAGATGGTGTGCTGCCACTAAAATGTATCCAGAAATTCTTTGATACTCCCCCTTTCAGGAGGTAGAACTTAATTCCCTCCCTGTGAGTGTAGTGTCTTGCTTCTAATGAATAGAATATGATGGATGACGGTGACTTCTGAGGTCACAGGCAGTATGGCCTGCTCCAAGCTTTCTCTTGAAGTACTTGCTCTGAGGGAAGCCAGAGGGCACGAGAACACTTACTTAGCCCTATGGAGAGGCCCATGAGTGGAGGGACTGAGTTCTCCCGCCCATGTGAGTGAGCAGATACTCCAGCCCTGGCCCAGCCCTCAGATGACCGCGGACCTGACATCTTGATTACAAACTCATGAGAGATCCTGAGTCGGAACCAACAGCTAAACTGCTGTTGAATTCCTGAACAGAATCTGTGAGATCTGTAAAGTTTGTGTTTCGAGATGTAAGGTGTAGTGTGGCAATAGGTAACTAATAGAGGTGGGCATAAAGTGACCTAGGCCGGTGGTTGGCAAATTGCAACTCTCGAGCCACATGTGGCTCTTTGGCCCCTTGAGTGTGGCTCTTCCTAAGCCTTAGGAGTACCCTAATTAAGTTAATAACAATGTACCTACCTACATAGTTTAAGTTTAAAAAATTTGGCTCTCAAAAGAAATTTCAATTGTTGTACTGTTGATATTTGGCTCTGTTTGCCGACCACTCATCTAGATTCTAGATGAGTCTCAACTGGGATGACTGGACACTTCAAGTCTCTGCCACATATCTGTTCCATGCCAGTAGGCTACCTCAGGAATGTCCTCATGGAGATGACAGAAACACAAGAAAGAGCAAGGCCTCTTGAGTTGTAGACTTAGAAGCACCATACTTGCACTTCTGCTTCATTCTATTACCCAAAGCCAGGCACATGGTCAAGTCCAGAGACAGAGGCAGAGGACACTTCAAAGTTAAATGCCCAAGGGGGTGGATGCAGAGAGGGTAAAAGATCATTCAACCCATCAGCAAGACCTATCAATTCTACCTTGGAAATACTTTCCACACCTGTCCAATACTCCTTCTATCTTATTGCTACCACCACTTCAGTTCACCATGATCTCTCTTACCTATCACCACCTGACTGCTCTGTCCAAATCTTTCTTGTCCATTCCTTCTCAGACCATTCTCAATGCAGCAATGAGAATAAACTTAAAAAGAAAACCTGCTCTGACCACTCATTTAATGAAGTCTGCCAAATGGTTTCCTATTGTTCTCAGGATAAAGGTGAAAATCCTGACTACGGCCTAAATTGTTTTCAATTTTCAATTGAGGGGCTACTTTAAAGCAAACAGGTGAACCTGGTGAAAGGGAGAAAGAGAGTGAAGAGGGAGTGTGGGAAAGAGAGGCTTTGTAATGACTTCCATGTGAGGACAGCCTGAAACCCCTTTCTCCAACCTCATCTCCTTCCATCCTTTCTTTCACTTTACGGTTGGAACACATCATAATTCCCCAACTTGTACACTATTTCAAGCCTCTGGGGTCTTACTTGGACTGCTCTGTGTCCAAGTAGAGAAGTAGAGTTCTTTATCCCTCCTTTTGGTATGGATTGAAAGCCTCTGCCTTATCACCTAAAAAAAAAGAGAGAAGGAGAATGCAGATTGGTTTGGCTCAGTGGATAGAGCATCGGCTTGCCGACTGAAGGGTCCCAGGTTCGGGGGGGGGAGAGAGAGAGAGAGAGAGAGAGAGAGAGAGAGAGGATGAGGGAGAGGATAGAGGTAGTGGTTACTCCATTTTAAGAATTTCCTTTTAGATTGAACCAATCTGATTACCTGGTAGGCAGTTGGGATTTAGTTGTGCCCTAAGGCTCCTTTCTCTCAATGGGTTAAAGTTCAGGGTAAATAGAAAACTTAACCCAAATCTGAAATATGCCTTAATTTCAAAAGTAACTCCCCAATTTAGATGTCCCTCCTGAAGTGCGAAAAGACCCAAGCTTTCTCAGAGCATCTGATCCGCACGCCCCAGAGCAGGGGTGGGCAAACTTTTTGACTCGAGGGCCACAATGGGTTCTTAAACTGGACCGGAGGGCCGGAACAAAAGCATGGATGGAGTGTTTGTGTGAACTAATATAAATTTAAAGTAAACATCATTACATAAAAGGGTACGGTCTTTTTTTTTTTTAGTTTTATTCATTTCAAACTGGCCGAATCCGGCCCGCGGGCCGTAGTTTGCCCACGGCTGCCCCAGAGGCTGAGCTCCCATTTGGGGCAGAGCAACCTTTTGTTCCTCTCCCTTTTTCACTGCCTCTTATCTCAGGGCCTGTTCCTTAGCCTTCATTCGGGTGAAACTCAAATATCTGAAGCCAACCAGCCAATTTAGCAACTTCTGTGTAATTGCAGTTGAAGTTTCACTCTCATATGGATGAGAAGGGAGCAGTGGGCACTTCGCATGCACCGAGATTGAATCCCCTGAATTGCAGGATTTCAGGCTCACACGAGACCTCCAGAAGGTTCTGCTGATGCCATCTTATCTACCAACTGCTAGATTCCAGGTAGCTAGATCCATATGAATTAATGACTTAAAATTATATCTCAAATTTTTATCTTCTTATAAACATAAGCCTTTTGTCTGTTTATAAGTGAGATCAGGTATCTTTTGGCATGATAATGAATACCAGAGAGCCCTGGCCGGTTTGACTCGGTGGATAGAGCATGGGCCTGCAGACTGAAGGGTCCCCAGGCTTGATTCCGGTCGCGGCACATGACCGGGTGCGGGCTCGATCCCCAGTAGGGGACATGCAGGAGGCAGCCGATCAATGATTCTCATCATTGATGTTTCTATCTCTCTTTCCCTCCCCCTTTCTCTCTGAAATCAATTAAAATAAATAAATAAATAAATAAAAAGAATACCACAGAGTAGTTTCTAACGGTAAGGAAGGAGTAAGAGAGAATTAAGTTTTGAGGTGTGTGGGAGTGCCCTGAAAAGGGAAATAAAAACCAGTGTAGAACTAAAAGGGTTTTGGTTTAATTCTTCTTTGTATCCAGAGGCAGCTCTGCAAATCCCACCCTAATGAGCCAGTGCCTGGCCCCTAATCTCATAAAACCCTCCAAAGGGAAAATGCGTGGAAGGCAGAGCTGATTCGATCCCTTTTGATATCTGCCCCTGGGCCTACTTTGGGGGCTCTGAGAACACACGAATTAACACGGACCAGTGAACGCATTCCAAAGCAGGCCTTCCAATGACGAGCCAAGCCAGGTACCTTACAGCTTGTATATTTATTGAACAAATGCTACTAAAATACATTGGGTACTTGTCATGAGTGCATCAGTAAAGATCACATTGTTACAAAAGCCTGCATTTCCAGCAGTACACAGCTGCAACTACATAAATGCCACAGACGCAGAATACTGTTCTTGCTCTATTTACACAGCTGATAGACCTATTCTAACAAAGGAGGGAGAAGGGAAATGCACGAGAACTCAGGCCAGTGGGGGAGCAAGAGGAGAACGAAGTGCAGCGCATGCATCATCGATGTTGAACAGTCAGAAGCGGAACAGTTCAGAACAGAGCCTACCCTGTCAGAGGAAGCACTAAAAGACAGTTATATAAAAATCAAGGTGGGCTTTCAGACTGGCTAACGCAACAACATTCTGTGAGTAGATGGTATTTCTGATTTTTTTGTTTGTTTATCCATTCCATTGGGAGCAAGGACAAAAATGTAACATCTATACCTTGCTTATCAAAAAGAGTGTTCTACCTTTTTTTTTTTTTTAACATTTTGCAAAGATACTTTTTCCAACCTAATATTTGGGAAAGGTGTAATTTCCCTATTTCCACTCAAATGCCAGGTTTTTTTGGATTTTTTAGAGGTCATTTATTAAAAAAGAGTTTTCCCTCCCCCCGCCCCAAATATTCTTTCAAACAAAAAGAACCAAGAGAGACACCTAAAAACGCCTGTCCAATTATTGCTTTTCTTTCTCTAAGTTAGGCAGGCGAGGCTACCAAAAGGAAGAGATTTGGTAAGTAAATTACAGTTTTGTGATTGCTCCCACTACAGGGACTTCGGGTCCATGAGTACCAGCCAACGAGACGTGGTCTCTTACACTCTCTCTGGTAGCGTTCACTCAACCTACAATGCTGAAGAAGAAAGCCACACTGAAGACACAAGGAAAACAGGTCAATCCAGTCTAGAGAACAACATTCAGGGAAACAGAGTACCAACACCTTCTTAGAACATGGAAATAAAAAATAACTCCATCAGAGCTACCTCGCCAAGGAGCATGTTGAAAGTCCAAAATAGCACCATTCATCAGTGTCTCAGGTCCTGTGGCAGCATCTCGGTCACTTACCACAAGGAAACAATGAGTTTCAAACTACTTCTATACATCAAAAGAGTACATGGATAAAATATAGAGATATACAGACAATTGATGAACATAAACTACTAGGTTTGTTACATCTAAATGAAAAAAAAATGGGGACTCTCAGCCTCTGCAAGAAGCAGTCGGGAGCTGTATGAGTGACCAGGCAGGAGTGGACCGGTTGTGTGAGAGCAGTGGGAGTTTGAGTTGTGGAAGACGTCATCGTAGCGAACCAGGCCTGAAGGCCCACCTGTAAGGGTTGTAAACGTGGATTCACAGTGTGAAATTCTGAGCGTTTTCACTTGAGTCAGAATGATTAAAAACTGGTTTGATGATACCTATTTGTCCACTGTAAATTCTCTAAAGCAAGGCTCAGAGTCCCATAGTTTCTTCTTATATTTGATGATTTACACAGAAAAAAATCCCATATATGATACCATAACCTCATCAATACCCATACACCATACGTAATACAAATGGAGGTGTTATGATTAAAAAGAGTGGAGGTAACTGATGCTTGGGGAGTGGAGTTCATTGCTGCCACGTGGAGTCAGGGAGGCAGCCTCCGTCTCATCGTTCTTCTTGCGGTTCACTTCCTTTGGGACGGGAAGTCTTCCCTGAAAAGCAGGTGGGTCCAGACACAGGAACACACACAAAGAGAGACACACTTAGTCATACTTCTGAAACCATTTGGAAAATTTTGCCTTTTATCCTTGAACTCCCAATGTTTTGCAGAGTTTACACATTAAACACAGCTCACCTGAATGTAAATATTAGGTCTGTGGGGGTATGAAGTAATTAAACACCAGCCGCCTTGGCTTCAGCAGAAACAAGTGCTTCTCTAACGGCTTTGCCCAGCCAAGTGGGAGGCAGCATTCCCCAAGAGTCAGGTTTCCAGGGACAGTTTCTAGTGTCAGGTAGGGCCTGACCTGAAGCTGGGTGAGAGGTGCTCACAGCAGTATTGAAAAAAGGAGTTCAATGGCTGTGGTGGAATAGGGCAATCGTCTATTTTCTAATAGATAATAAAAATATTTAAAAGCATATTACAGTCTGCGCAAATGTAATTTGTGTAAGGTCTATTCTATAAGCACTGGCACAATCCATGTGGGCCTTCTGGTCAGAATCAGAATGGGGACCAGAGGTGGGCGTGTTTGGGAGGAAACAGTGTGGGGTTCAGGGGGAAGGTGTTGCAGGAAAGAGGAGGATAGCATGAAACTAAGAGCTGGCGAGAAAGTCAGTTAGTTGGGACTGACTGGGGCTATTCTAAGTCTCTCATCACAATCCCGATGAGTGAGATTTTTGTGTTTCTAAGATAATCAAACCACAATGAGCACCAATGGGAAGGAGCTCTCCACAGCAACCAAACAGCAAGAGGACAGGACAGTGAACCCCATTTGCCATTGGATATATAAAACAGAGGTCCTGCTCTCCCACAAATACACTGTATGTCCTGATCAGATATGAAAATAGTGATCTGACACATTTCTCCTTTAGACAAACCATTGATTACTGGAGTTTCTTTGGAAAAAATTACCCATTGTGGTTTAAAAGATCTTTCCCCGCTTTTTTGCTCAGGTCACATGTTCTAACAGAACATTTATAATAAACTGATTTGACTGGATATAAGAACTTGGATTAAAGTGATAATCTTGCTTTGTGATTGTAAATGATCCCTTTTCAATTTCTTCTTAAGAAGAATCCAGACATCAGGAACTTCCTAATAACTTGAAACTGAATCAATGTTTTCATCAGTCCCCGGGTGAACTAAATGTCACAAATAATTCAACTTCAAGAAGTCTTATTCACTGTATAGATTTTTCATGCTAAACATCTGGTATGCCCATTTTTGTGTTTAAAAATCTCAGACATTGAGAGCATACAACATTTTTAAGACGTATATCAAATCCACTCAGTATGTACTTTAATGTTTCTTTGAGTTGTGAAAATAATTTTAATCTTGAGATTTTGGCATGCAATCCCAAGATTTAAAAAGAAAAGAAGAGAAATCCACTGTAATCCTGGTGCCTATTTTTTTAAAATATATTTTTATTGATTACAGAGAGGAAGGGAGAGGGAGAGATAGAAACATCAATGATAAGAGAAAATCATTGATTGGCTGCCACCTGCACACCCCCCACCATGGATCGAGCCCACAACCCAGGCATGTGCCCTTGACTGAAATCGAACCTGGGACCCTTCAGTCCACAGGCGGACACTCTATCCACTCAGCTAAACTTGCTAGGGCCTGGTGCCTTTAAAATAATATTTGTTCCTCCTCCCCCAGCAACAGTTAGCATGCATGGTTTGAGATATGACAAACTTAGGTTTTAGACAAGTGAAGAATTCAATGGCTTCTTATTGTCACAGGCCAGGATGGAAGATCAAAAGTTCATAAACATTATTTCACTCAACTATCCTCTGTACATGACTGGGTTTCAAATTGCTAACTTCAGTTCAGAGTTACTCTGTTCAAAAGCGAATATATAGAACATTATTCTGTCTCTAGATAAGTCTCAGTCTCACTAACCTGTTACCTCCATGGAAAATACTTAACAAAATGAAATGAAGAGCTGAGTGGGATCTCGACAATTTGGGAAGAGGTTATTTCCAAGAAAAAAAAGAATGTGAAGATTATTTCAGATGGGAATCCACATTTTTACTAGTTTTCTCTCTTGTGAGGTTCCCAAACATTCATGTCTTCATTTATTATTCATGTTCTGAGTGCTCATTATGGCTTGAGTACTCTATTAGATTTTAAGCCTACAAAGATTAAAAGAGAGACAAAAACAGTCCTTGCCCATCCTGCCCTTAACTGAATTGCTGTGTGGGAGATGGCCAAGTACAACTGGACTATGGCAAGGCAATGGCATAGCCCATGCAGAGCTTATGCTACTGAAGCAGCCTGAGGGGCCATGACCCAACATATCTGTGGGGAGAGGAGCTTCTGGGGAGATAAAATTCTACCCATCTTCTCTTTGGAGGCCGGAATTTATTAGATTTCAATCGTTACTTCCTCTCCTTCATTAAAAAAAGAGAAAAGAATCCAGTCTTCCTGCCCCCACTGAAGGAATTGTAGGCTTCTATGGAAAGGGAAGGAGGCATTTTGAAGGGAGGACACAGGATGTCTTATTTCTCCATATGTCAGGTCGTATAAAAATTCAGGGAAAAATCATCATATCTTCTTCCATTGTCCAGCACATAGTGGTCCCTTGAGGACTGGGAACTGGAATAATCTAGAAGGCTGGAGGAGGGGAATGACGTGTCCGCTGACACCCACAAACCAGAGAGTGCCCCTACCACTGACCTAACTCAGGTTGGATGCCTTCTCTGATGACTGCCAGTACATGAATCTCCCAGTTACTCAATAATGTGACTTGGACCAAGTGAGTCAAGATTATTTCTTTTTATGATTATGCAGAGATATGCTTTTCCAGAAGGAAACTGCTGAAAATAGGATAAATATATTATGCTTAAGATACTATTCATATATTTAGAGAGGAAAGAAGTTAAAATTAACAGAAGACCTGAGTTGCAGGATCCACTGTGCCAACCCCTGAAGCATGCCTCATTATAGGCAAAGCCTGGGGCCTGGACTGGCCTAAGAGGAAGGGGAGGCACTATTGGCCTCACTGACAAACTTGCCTAGTCTTGTCTCCTGGTTGCTGTCACCAGTATCAAAGAGAGGGCCTCTGGATGCCTGCATGGGGCAGAAACTAATGACAAGACTACACTCTCTCGCTCCTTCCATTATCATGTTTCATCCTCAGCTGCTCAGGGGAATTTTGCCCTGAGCCATCCTGATCAAGAATGTCTACAGTTACACTGCTGATGCTGGTGTTGTGGTGGTGAGGTGGTGGGCTGTAGGTGTGTTCTAAGTGAAGCTCCAGTATTTTAGCTCACTACCACTCCGACTCTACAAGATCAGCACAAGTCTAGCTCAGACAGGGCCCAAATCATGTTGCTCATCTACTTTCCTGCCAATGATTTAAACCTTGACCTTCAGAAATTCTCTGAAAAATTAAAATGATTTAGAAGTGCTTTCTTTCAGTGCAAACTGCCAGTTGACACAATCTCTTCAAATTCTGGCTACCAGTAAAAGGTAGAGAATTGCTGAAACTGTTTAGTGTAAATAAGAGAGCTTTTCAAAATTGAAATATCAGTAATAGCTGGGTAGCCCTCATCATTGGTCAATTACACATATAAAACTTTTAAATGTTAATTTTTATTTTCAATGGACTCTATTTTTCTTTATTGGTTGTAAACTCAGCAGGTCAGTGGTAAAAAGTTACAATCCTCTTGCTTAAGTGATATTTACCCTAACAGGCAAAGTCCAAAGGTATCTATAGTAAAAACTGGTAAATGGCTTTTAAATGTTTGTGTTGGATTTTTTTTTCAGCAATGGGGCTAAAATCTAAAATTTTAGCACAATGAAAGCATTTTACAGAACATATTTTAGGCCTAAAAATTAAAAGAAAGAAATATAACAACTTTTTTGAATGTGCTTTCTGTTTTGTTTCCCAGGTAATCTTATCAAACATCCAGGCATTATTACCAGACAAAACTGTCATCATCTTTTCCTTTTAAGATATCTTTTAGTTTCAGCATTATATTTGACTTTACCCAGGAATGGAACAAATTAAAAATCTGTAAAATGTACATTGATTCCATGATTATTAAATGAAAATTTGCTTTGGGCTTGTCAAGAAAGGAAGGTAATAGTGAAATTTAAGAGTCACAGGAATTTAGGATATGATTTTTTTAGGATACATTATTTCTAAGGTCATAATAGTATCAGATAAGTGAATTATTATAGTTGACTATATTGGATATTAAAATGAAAAATGAATAAATCTGATTTAAAAAAAATTGTTTCTACATTTTAAAATATTTACAAAATAGCAGCTTAAGGATCTTACCTTAGGAAGCCTTCCCTCCATTTCCTCATTTGGAAATGGCTCTCGGCTGACCCAGACAGCAAGCTCTGGGTAATAAACCTGTAGGAGACATAAGAGCACACACATTTAGATTAAGAACGGGATCCACTTTGAAACCACCAGTGATCAGCTTAATGAGCTCAATCCTTCTCAAGGATCACTTACTTCCCCATTGCAACTTTAAAGTTCGGGGGAAGCCCATCACCTCGTTCAGACTGTTAGTGTGCTTCTGCATGTTTGCTGCACTCAGGAGAGTTTTAGCTCCATGTCTTGAAAGGCTAGGTCCAGTAGAGCAGAGATATCGATCAATGTTATCTTAGCACACCAAGTGGAAGCTTCGTGGCTCGACTGGCTGAGCAAACTAAGGCACTGGGGCGACCTAACTTTCAACACAACCTATGATAAGAATCCCTACAAAGCCCCATGTTTATGAGATAATGTGCCATGAACCCATCACACACTGTTAGGGGTTATCCTGATCATTTTTTAGAAGGAGGAAAGGAAGAAGCAGCCTGCATTCTCCAAGGCCCATGTAGCCACTAACAACACACTGCCCAGCTGCCTGAAAATAGCCAAGTGTCTGAGCGAGGGACAGGAAGATGGGCAACATCCCCACGAATGATACAGAGAATACTAGTTGATGAGTTTGGAGGGGTGGGGGCAGGGGTGGGATGAGGTGGAGAGAGTGAATCGTACTGAGTAACTCTTCTTTAAACACATGTACAAGGATTATTATCATAAGAATTTTGCTGACCAGCTGTTCTCCGTCTCTAGTAAAGACAGGAGTCAGGGATTAGGACTTAAATTACAACTACAGATTTAGGTCAGCTGTAAGAAAGAATTTAGCAGAGGAAAAAAATGTGAAACCTACTTTAAGAAATTTAGAAACAGAATTTAACACCCTAACTCAGAGCTAATTGACATTTGATATAGGCCCTTCCTGAAGGGAGGGAACTAGATAAGATTTCCTCCAGGTATGATTCTCTAAATGCTGTACATAAGCCTCACATTTAATAAATAATATTAAGAATCACATCGCATCAATAGGTTAGCAAACAGACTTACGTGCAGTTTTTGTTTTTGGAAGCACCAAATGTGGCAGCCTAATCACTGTGAAGTTTTCAATGTCCCAGTCAACCCATGTGTGTGGCGGTCTGAGGTAGGACAGTGGATGGCTGTGTTGGTTCCTTGGGATAGTCTAACAGTAACTGATCTACCCCAGTCACTTTTATGGCACATCCCAGTTCACAAAGCAATTTTGCATACATTAACTAATTCATCCTGACAATAAGCCTGGGAATAGGTCTTATCATTACAGAGATGAGAACATTGAAATTCAAAAGGTCGCGGACTTGCCCAAAGCCACACAGTCAATGTAGGACAGGACTTACACTCAAACCTGGTTTCCAGATTCTGAACTTCCGTTCTTTCCACTATCCCAATGTTCTTGAATTATCCCAGAATGCAAATTGCCTGCCACCTCTCTTTCAAGAATCACACAGTCCACAGCCAACACATACATTTTGGTCTTAAATATCTGAGAGCTCATCCTGTAAGAACTGGACCTATTTTCTGACTTTGCACTGGGTCTGCTTTCCGGGCCATGTGTTTTCCCCCAACCTCAGTCCTCTTGCTCAGCTTTCGAGTCTTTGACCAGCTCCTTCTGGGAGAATTCTACCCTCTGCCTTGTTTGGAACAGAGAGCCACCCTGATATGACCTTTAATCAGGAATGGGGGAAGAAAACATGCTTTTTTAAGGCTTAAAACAAGGTCACAGCACACAAAATCCCAGTTTGGGCTGAATTTTAGAAGACCTAAGTTAGGATCAAACGTCAGTTCACTCATTACAAATTGAAAAAAAAATTATTACATTTCTACATTACTACTTTTAAAAGCATGCTTTAAGTACCACTGAAAACATTACACATATTAATGAGTAATAAAGTTTCATTGCAAACCAAATATGTTGATAAAAATACATGTCAAAATTCAGTAGGCACATGGATGCAATGACAAGCCAATCTAGTAAATGTTATGTCTGTGTTCTTGTGATTTTCTGTAATATTCTACTTTAGCAAAATCACACTGCTTTAGCATTCAACTTCTAAGTTCAAAGCCTCAATACTAAAGTCACCCAAGTCTGATTTGTAGGAAAAAAATAATTGGCCTCTCAGACATTATTATACTTATTCTTACAATTTATTTTTCCAAGAACTTTCCTTTTTTAAAAGAAAAACAGTCAGTGATTTGTTTGGCCAAAGAATTCAGGAACACCAGTATTTGATAGCAAAACCTGCGACTGAGCAAACTTTCCCACCTACCTCAAATTGTTCTTTTGAAACATATTAATTTAGCCACAGATTTGCCAAGGGCATTTCTAATTAGGCATTTTTTAGTGTTTGAATCATAAAGTAATCTTTGCATTATTTAGGAAAAATAAGCATCACTTTGGCCTTGTGGTAAATTCTTTGTCTCCTTCAGAATCAGAACCTTAAGCCCAAAGGGATAGAGGGTCTGTTACCTTCTGAAAACCTGCTTGCCTGATCTCTAAGAACTAAGCATATCCCTGGACATGGTATCTAAAGGAGACACTAAACTTCCTTTTTAGATTTAGGGAAAAGGTGGTAGATTATTGGAAATATATGCCCCTTACATTACAGCTTTGTTCTTTCTTATACCAGTGGTATGTTGAAACTTTAAAATGAAGGACTTCAGAGGAAAGATATATGACAATTACTACCCTTGCTCTCAAATAATTCAAAATACCTTTGTCCTGCATGCATTCACCATGAGTTTGTGAATCACCTTCAATGGCTGGGCACTGCTGGATTCTGGGGATTGGGAAAAGAGAATATAGTTCTTGCCTTCTAGTTCAAATAGCCAGCAGAGGTGACAGACCTTCTGAAAGATCATTTGAAAAGCGTGTACTATGGGCTGAATTGCGTCCTCCCAAACCCCAAATTCAAATGTGGAAGTCCTAACCCCAGGTACTTCAGAATGTGACTATATTTGGAGATAGAGTTTTTAAAGAGGTTGTTATGGGGGGCCTAATCCAATGACTGTCCTCATAAAGGAGAGAATGACACACAGACACACACAGAGGGAAGGTGATGTGAAGACACAGGTAGAAAAGGACCATCCACAGGACAAGTCTCAGAAGAAATGAACCCTGCTAACACAACACCTTCATCTCAGACTTCTAGACTCTAGAATTGTGAGAAAAATAAACTTCTGCTTAGCCATCTAGTCTGCGGTGCTTCGTTTTGACAGCCCTACCAAACTCCTACAGTTCTTTAAGGGCAATTTTTTACAAAGTATAGGTCATATCAAATGTAATAGCTGTTGGAACATGTATCAATAGACTAAAAACAAACAAACACAACCAATATGTTTAGCAAAACATAGTGTCAACAGAAGAAATGTGGGTGGCAGTGAGCAGATCTGGAAGCGACTCCTTAGGCTGCAACTCCACTGGCTGCCGTGTCCTGTGTTTTTACCTAGTTCAGAATATGAGGCGCTGACAAGGACCCTGTGATAGAGGCTGCTGAGTACTGATAACACGTGGGTCAGAAACACAGAGATAAGTTGATCTATCTTTCTGGAGTCCTTCTGTTCTTGCTGGACCCTAAAGCTGTTGGTTCTTCTTGGTACTAGTCAACTGATGCTCTGAAGGTGGACATATGGCTTAAACTATATTCCATTCATTTTGTTTTCTGGATTCAAGTTTGTATTTTTTCATGAAGAGCAATTAAACTAACTTTTTTCTTTTTTTACTAAACTCTCTCTCTCTTTATGGTGGTGGCGAGCGTCTCAGAAATGTAAGTCATCTGGGGAATCCACACATGAATACCTCAAAACTGTTGTTTTATTAAATAAGTAAGCCAAGCTGTGCCTTGATTTTCACAAGAGAAGTGTCCTTTTCAAAGTGTCTCCCATATAGAGATAAGCAATTGTTTGCTCTTGCTCAAGTAAAATCCTCAAAACCCTCTAGAACAGCAATTATCAAGTGGTGTGCCACAAGAATTTTTAAAACATGCAATGCCTGACTGTTTAATCAGGGGCACTGACCTCCTTTCTCTTAGACTGTCAAATAAAAAAAACAGCCAACACAACCATAGCCGTCTGGTGTGAATGAATCAAAATTATACCTATTTTTTGTCAGATCTGCAAAAAATACATTTTTGGGTGTGCTGCAGAATTTTGTAATCAGATTCTGTGTGCCATGAGATGAAAAAGGTTGAAAATTGTTGCTCCTAGAAGAGTGTTCTTATAGAAGAAATGAGAGAAGCAAGCTATACCCTCACAATTAAGAAAACATTGTGAAAACATAGAGGGGAAGGAAAATTTTGTTGTTTTAAATTGCAGAACATGCAAAGCTTTTGCTTTAAATTATGGGAAAGGTTGAGTGTTTATGCTTGTCACTAAATATATTAGTTAATGCACCTTTTTCTACAATGCTACATTTATGTCACTAATGACTACGTTTAAAAACAACAGAAATGACATGAAAAAACCACATGATTTTAAATACACTAAGCATGATAGATATGTATTTAAATATCCATGAGCCATTCTTAGGTAAAAGCAATTTTTTGCTTTCAAGTATATTGAACATATTAAACCCACAATATATTTAGATATAGTTTAATGGTGAAAATTTACTATTTCTTACTGATTCTCTTAAATGTATTTGATGGTTGGGTACTTAAGTTTCCACTGTGTTTCATGGCATACAAGTTGAGAACACAATGCTCACAGTTTTTGCCTTTTTAAGTCTTTCAAGGCTTGTTTTACTCTCTGGATGATGCAACATAAAAAAATCACTTCATTTTTTAAGACTATAAGGTAATTGGGTGGCAATGATCATGACTTGGTAGCCCAATTAGAAAAATAAAACGTGGAGAGAATCAGAGAGCACTCCTGCTAGGTCCTAAAAAAACAACCCACAAGTTATATCACCCTTTAAATTATTTTTTAATCTCTTTTAAGCTTTTCATTTCAAAACTTGCTATTTATTTTCCAATAGCATGGTCCACATATAGAATCAATCTAATTGACAT